CTCTCTCTCTCTCTCTCTCTCTCTCTCTCTCTCTCTCTCTCTCTCTCTCTCTCTCTCTCTCTCTCTCTCTCCCTCTCTCTCTCAAACAAAATAAGCACAAAAATTATCCTGACCTTCACAATCGCCAGCACCTCTCTTCTGATGTCCTCACTCTTTGTCTGGCCCTCCTTTTTCCTTTTTCCTCTTTTCCTTTTTTTTTGTCGCTGCTCCCCTCCTCCTGTCGGTCCAGACTGCAGTTGCTAGGCAACAGCTGATTGAGCTTGATGATTGTGCAATTTAACAATTAGAAGTTCAAATGAAAAGTAGTGTCAAGAGTTTGCACTCTTACAGCTGACGCTTGAGTTACACTGTGGTCATTTGGTTTCATGTATGTGCTAACGCTTGAATAATAGAAGACGCCATGTGTGATTGTTTGCCGAATATATGCCTAAACACTCGGATAATGATGATGATATKATAATCATGCTGTTTGCCTCCATATCTCAGTTTTCCCCCTCTCTTCTCACACCTCTTCTTGTGCATTTATTTAATCTGTTCATACCGTTTTTTTTTCCTGTCTACCCATGCCACAGAAACTCCACTGCAGGGWCCAGACACATTCATCATCTGAGAAAAGAGATTAGATTATAGCTCAGCTCCTAACACACACATGCACTTATAGTTCAGAAAAGGCAGCTCWGTAATTGGTTGGAAAATCAAAGAGAGTGAAGCTGCTGGGCAGTCAGAGTTTGTGTTAATGATAATTTACGTCCTGTAAACCTCAGCAAGAAAAGCTTGGGTCAGTTCAGAAAGGCTGGTCAAAATAGTTTCTTAATCTGCTACATTTGGTTTAACATACTTCTGCCAAGACATAAACTAAATAAACAATCCTTTTTTTTTTCTTGACAGCATGTGGCTGGATGACCTGGTATAAATGAAGCTCAGTGTAGAAACAGGAAAAGTTTAGAAAATCRTTTAAATGAAAGTGCTTGTGTTTCTGCTTGGTCCCGTTTGTTTCAGAAAAACAAAAAGATTTTTAAAAAATCGTTGTATACTCTTTGGATTAAAAAAAAATTGTGGGGTACCTTTGAACAACTCAAAACAAAAATGGCATATTCATAAAATCTGACTCCAACAACGTTTGTATCTCTCACAATAAGACACGGCTGCTCAAAATTAACTTGTCACTCATTAACTAATGCGCATCAATTTTTTTATCCAACGTCACCAGACGGGCTCCGTACTTTTCCACAATAACAAATTAAAACTATTTTCCATCAATGTTCAGCTTCTTTAAAATGTTTTTGTAAATGAAGAAGGTGGTCATGAGCTTAACTACGAATTTATTTCACATTTTTATTGCTCTGTGCACTGCAAAAACTGTCCATCTTACCAAGTTTTAAAACCTTWTATCCAGCCAAAAAGTCTTTTTGATCTTGTTTTGAGACTGATTTACTAAACAAGAACAGATTGTGTAAGGATAATAAT